GGACAGAACTGCCCCATGGGGTTTCTGAGGCTGTCATCTTCATGGAAGCAGACTGTACATCTTTCTCCTGTATACTGACTGGTGGGTTCAAACCACCAGCCTTTTGGTTAGCAGCCAAGCACTGAAGCAGTGCACCACGAGGGCTCCTTAAAGCCACCATGTGGAATGCACAATACGATGGCAGTGGGGCCCATGTGGGGGGCTCATTTCCTCCTGGAGACAGCACCACATGGCGCTGACAGTCCTCCTGGTTGGGGTCCTGAGGGTCTCACCAGCAGGGAGCAGGCGGCAGGATGCAGGAGGAGGCACTGGGTTGAGGCGTGCTCTCTGGAGAGGGTGGACCTCACCTATGGGTGAGGTGCATATTGCCAGCATGGGTAGGCAGGAACATGGGGCTGTTGGATCTTCCAAAGTCACTGTGAGACACTCACTTGGAGTCTCACACTGTAGCTACAGCAACCACCTTGGGCAGGAATAGTGATGCCTCCTGCAGGCTGGCTCCATAAAGCAGGGCAAGCCCTTGGTTGTGCATTGGCACAGAGCTGTGTGGACAAGCTATGTCCCCACAGTGGTGCCAGAGTGGCAGCTGTGCAGGTCTTGTGGCCCCACCAGGCTGCTTTATGTGGACTTTGGGGTTAAGTTACTTGCCTCATTCTCACGCCCTTGCAAGATGCCTCCCTCCCATTGCTGCCTGCAGCCAGTACACTTCACAGTGGCACCATTTGCAAATGACACAGCGGCTGTGCCATCTGATGCTATCCAGAGCACATGCCAGGTGGTTTGTGCAGGGCCTGTGTGTGGCTGCTCTGGCTACTGGGTCTTCCAACCGGGCATGCTTATAACAGACATGAGTGTGATTACATCAGCATAGTGCCTCGGCGATATCACTGCATGGTTGTTGTTGTTAGGTGCTGTTGAGTCAATTGTGGCTCCTAGTGGCCCCATGAAACAGAGTAGAACTGTCCCAAAGGGATTTCCAGGCTCTGCTCTGTATGAAAGCAGATCACAAGGTCTTTCTCTTGTGGAGCACTTAAGTGGGCTCAAACCACCAACCTTTCAGTTACCAGCCAAGCACTGAACCGCCACACCATGTAGGACTTCCTCATTTTACAGTTAGAAGTTCTCCCAGGTTGATTGCTAAGATAGCGAGTCATGTTTGTGATGCTGTTGTTAGGTGCCGTCAAGTCCATTCTGACTCACAGTGACCCCGTGTACAACAGAGTGAAGCACTGCCCGGCCCTGCACCACCCTCATAATCCCTGCTGTACTTGAGCTATACAGTGCAGGAAGACGGCCCCATGGGTCAGAAGGCAACCAGAATACAACTGGGAAAGAGCTGCCTCATCAGAGTACAACCACCTTAATGATGTGGATAAAGAAACGCTTTCGGGACCTCCATTTGCTGACATAGCGTGACTCAAATTGAGGAGAAATAGCTGCAAATATCCATTAACAATCAGAACATGGAATGTATAAAGTATGAATCTAGGAAAATTGGAAGTTGTCAAAAATGAAATGGAAT